GGCCGCAGCCAGACACACTGCCACTCTGATCGGCAGGAGCGTGCAGCTCCGCAGCTCAGAGTGCTGCCCACGCGGCGGCGTGGCTCTGCGCGGGAGGAGCTGGGAGCTCAGGGGCCGGGCAGGACGGTCCCGCGGGCCAGATGTGGCCCGCAGGCTGTAGTTTGCCCACCTCTGCTCTGATGTATTTAGAGAGAGCAATCATATCTCCCCTCAGCCATCGTTGAGTTTGACTAAACAAGTCAAGCTCTTTGAGTCTCTTCTCATAAGATAGGTTTTCCATTCCTCAGATCATCCTAGTAGCCCTTCTCTGCTCCTGTTCTAGTTTCAATTCATCTTTCTTTAATATGGGAGACCAGAACTGCACACAGTGTCCCAGATGAGGTCTCACAAGTGCCTTGTGTAATGGTACTAACACTTCCCTGTCTCTACTGGAAATCCCTTGCCTGATGCATCCTAGGACTGCATTCACATTGACTGCTTATAGTCACTAAGGTCTTTCTCCTCCTCTGTTGCTCCCAACTGATACGTCCCCAGCTTACAGCAAAACTTCTTGTTGTTTAGACCCCAAGTGAGTGACATTGCACTTTGCACTATTAAATTTCATCCAGTTTTCAAGGTTGTCCAGATCTTCTTGTATGCTATTCAGGTCCTCCTCTGTATTGGCAAAACCTCCCAGCTTTGTGTCATCCACAAATTTTATTAGCACACTCCCACTTTTTGTGCCAAGATCAGTAATAGAAATGTTAATAAAATTGGTCCCAAGACTGATCCCTGAGGAACTCCACTAGTAGCCTCTTTCCACCCTGTCAGTTCACCTTTCAGTGGGACTCTTTGTAGTCTCCTCTTTAACCAGTTCCTTACCCACCTCTCAATTCTCATAGTAAGCCCCATCTTCTCCAATAAAAACAACGAGGCGTCTTTGTGGCGCCTTAGAGATTAACAAATTTATTTGGGCATAAGCTTTTGTGGGCTAGAACCCGATGTGACAGAGCAGGGAGCGGAGCGGATTTGACCTGGGTATGTTGCCTGGGAGTTACATTGGGGATGGGAGACTTCCCTTGCAGGGAGATACCTGAGCCAGGAGGGGGGTTGGGAGAAGTGACACCTTCTGCCCGGGAGACTGAACAAAGGAGAGGAGGGGCAGAGGGGAGGGGAGAGAGAGCTGCTGGAGGGATTTTTTTAGTTTCAGTTTGGGGCTGGGTGGTGCAACGCAGGGAACCCCAAGCTGGGGTCTAAGCTCCCTGAACCAAACTGATCTGTATCCATTAGGGGCTCGGACCAGTGCAGCTGAATCCAGGGCACTGATCTAATCCCAATGTGGCATGATTTAATCCTTTTCTACACACAGCCTAGTCACGGAGTATGGGGGGACTCAGGGCCCTGCACCCCCGGCTTCCTGCGATTCACCATGACTCTCAGCCATCCAGTAAAGCAGAAGGTTTATTTAGACGACAGGAATACAGTCCAAGACAGGTCTTGCAGGCGCAGACAACAGAACCCCCTCAGTTAGGTCCATCTTGGGGTCCCCGGGCACCCTAGCCCCCCTGGGAGGTCAGAGCCCCGTCTGCCTCCCAGCCATGGTCACTAGCCAGCTCCTGAAACTCTGCCTTCAGCGACCCCTCCCACAGCCTTTGTTCAGTTTCCCTGGCAAAGGTGTCACCTTGCCTCTCACTCCTTCCTCGGTTCTCATGTTACATGCTCAGGTATTCTCCTTCGGTCAGTCTCCCATCCCCCCCGATGCAGACTCTCCTAGCCACACTCCCCTGTCAGCATTCACAGACCACTTTAAGAACAGTCCCAGTTCGTCACAAGCCTGTGCACTGATTTAGCGAAATCTGTGCAACCCCTGTAGTGTGGACACTCTTAAATTAGTGAAGTTTAAGGCCAGGTCTACACATTGTTCAGTGATGCGAAAAATCCACACCCCTGCAAGATGTAGTTAAGCTGACCTACCCCTTGGTGTAACAGCACTAGGAAGAATTCGGCCATCTCCCTAGCCGTAGCCTCTTAGGGAAGTGGTTACTCCGGTGGTAGGAGAGCCCCTCACATCACCGCAGTGAGTGGCTACTGGAAGAGCTTCAGCTACACCACTCTTGCAGTTTAAGTGTACACACAGCCCGAGTCAATTACAAACTGAAACTGATTTGGTTTCAAATCACACCGTTAGTTACACTCGGTGTGTCGTCCAGGCCTAACATCCCCAGAGTTCCTGAGTGTAATGTGAGCAGGTGCCTGCTGCACGCACAGGAAGCAGTACTGTCGTTATCTGACAACGTGCACCACTTGGCAGTCTTAATGCTTTCTGCACCTTAACTACGGAAGCCATCCCACACCCCAGTCATGTGAGTGAGTCTGATCATCCCTGTTTCACACATGTGGAAACCGAGGCACAGAAAGCCGAGGTGACTACCCCAGCACCACCCAGCAGCAGAGCCAGGAATAAAACTCCAGAGCTGCCAGCTCCCGATCTCCTGCCCAGTCTCCACTGACGCCCGCGTATGCCTGGCAAGTTAACGTTCAGAGCACTCACTCTAAACCAGCAAGGTGCTAACCCCATTGGTCCTCACACGTTGTACTGTAACACAGCGTTCTTATCCTATTTAGCTCAGCAGCACTACATGTGACCAGTGTAATTCGCTCTTGAGCCATGCATTTCCTTTGCACTGCTAGGATAGTTGTCGGAATGTGTGCAAGGCTACTGAGGCCTCAGCCTCTGCTTCCCAGCGCTTGTTGACAGCATCTTCCCAGAGATCCATCCTTGCTTGCCACAGCACACTCCCTGTTCGCCTGCAGGCTGCAGTAATACCTCCCATGAGGCATGGATGCTGGAAGGGAAAAGGGAAGTTTACACTTCCCAGGAAGGGAGGAGGCTGTTTAAATGACTTGTCTGTGTGACCTTGTCTTCTCCAGGGAAAAAAGGTTTGTTCTTAACTCAGGTTAGCTGACATGAGGTAAAGCTGCAGTGAAGGCAAGGCAGTTGGTCACTTTCACATGAATTAGCAGGTTGAGATAAAGACTGGAGCAGCCTAGGATTTAGCCAAGTAGACCTGCTAACTTGTCTTCACTGGGATTTTAACAAGTTCGCTAACTCGTGTTAAAAACACACTTTTTTTTCCCTAGTGGAGGTGCATTTTTATCCCCAAGTTAACTATCCAGTGTTAGAATCCTATGTCTACACCACACAGCCAGCCTGGGTGATTGGCACCTGGGTGTGAGCACCCGGGTTAGCCTAGCCTGAGTGTGAGCGTCCCCACTGCAGAGCCCTATCCGTGTTAGCATCCTCACTGTCTCTGCACTCACCCATGTGTGCTGAGGGCACATCCCATGATTCTTTGTGCTGAGACGCTCTGGGATTTTCCCCCCAGTCAGTTGTCAGTTGCGGGAGAACTTGTCTGTCCTTTGCGGGGGAATTCTGGGAGGGCACAGGACTCAAACCCCAACTTTAGAGCCATTCAGATCACCAGCTGGCTACAGACTTGGTTAGACGTTGTAGTGTGGTAAGGGCCAAAATGCAGCTAAAATTCTCATGTCCAACTTGCTGCTGTGACGCTGCTGTGCCCAGGAGCTGAGGCAGGAGTTTGCTGACTTAGCAGAGGGAGGGGCACATTGGCCTGGCTAAGAGAACAGTAGCTAGTCATCTGAGCTGGTGCCAGCACCACTTAATCCTTCCGAGATGGCAAAGGGGTTTCTAAGTAACGTGAGCAAATGATTCTCAACAAGAATGATTTACTCTGCCCTCCTGAGCATCCCCAGGCAGCCTGCAGACTCCTAGGCTCAGGTCCTCAGAGGTGTTTAACTGCTGTCAAGGCTGATTCTCCACTCTGGCACTTTGAGTGCAGAAGGTGAGGGCCTGCAAGGAGTCTAAAAATTAATATTGGCCACTCCAGGCTGGTATTAAACTCCCAGGGTTACAGCTTTTCTCTGACCTTGGATGGGTAGATGATGCCACCACCCAAGTGCAAAAAAAAAACCCTTTGAGAACTCAGGAAGGCTCACTTGGGAATTCCCTCCTGTGGGGTAACCTCAAGCCCTTTCATCCCTCCTCTGGGGAAGAGCTGAGAAAGAAAACAAAGAAAATCCGCTGTTGCCACCAGCTAATTAAACAATGTGCACAAACCTCTTAGGACACACAAATCCAATCTTGTTCTTAAAAAAGGTAAATTTTATTAAAAACAAAAGAAAGAAAATACATCTAAAAACTTAGACTATTGCTAGATTTTAAAAAGAACCACTTATAATAATTAAGCATCAAAATAACTTCCTTGAGGTCCAGCTTAAAGGTTACAAACAAAACAAGAGCATTTGGGGTTAGCACAGAGGAGTCTACAAGCCATAAAGAAATAAGAGATAAACCTAATTGCGTCTTCCTAGACATTTCCTGATCTACTTACATATCTGGGGTTTCAAATGAGTAGATTCTATGTATGATTTGATACCTGGCTTAAACTTCTTACCGCATTGCTGCTTTGTGTCCCCTTTCTGGAAGAACAACCACAGACAGACAAAAGGGGAGTCTTGTTTCAATTTTAAAAAGTTCTAGCCTTCCCATTGGCTCTTTTGGCCAGGTGTGCTCTCACTTCCTTTTACCTATGCATGCAGTCAGACATTTTAACCCTTTACAGGTAAAGCAAGTAGAGAACAGCTACCAAGAGGGATTTTATAGCTAACTGGCTGGCTGGGTGCCCATAAAAGGGAGCTACCCCCCCCCCCTTCATTTATCACAGCTGCCGAGCATCCTTTGAAAATCTGGGCCTGATTAACTAATTGAGCCTCTCAGCTCTGGGAGGTTGGTCTTACAGCTGGGGAAACTGCGGCCCATGGAGGTGACGAGACCTGCCAGGGTGTCCCAGCCAGTCAGTAGCAGGGATGAGTGGCTCCCAGTCTCAGCCCTAGCCAGCTCTCCCTCTCTGGACTTGGGGGTCGTTGATCAGGCTGAGGCTCAGCAGTGGGGACGGCACGGGAGCTCCCCTGCTGCCGTGACGCTGGCTGTTTGCTTGCAGGATGTTTGACGTGGGCGGACAAAGGTCAGAGAGGAAGAAGTGGATCCATTGCTTCGAGGGCGTGACGGCCATTATCTTCTGCGTGGCTCTCAGCGCCTACGACCTGGTTCTGGCTGAGGACGAGGAGATGGTAAGGATGGGAGAGGGGCTAATCCGGCCCTGCGTTGCTCGGAGCTAGTCTGAAATTCACAAGCATGAGGGACCATGGGCTGAGTGTCTCCGGCTCAATCCCCCGGATCTGTGCATGTTCACCGGGGAGGGGGTTTGCTGCGGGAGGCTCCAGGCCTTTCCCCCGTGTCCCCCCTCCCCTTTCCCCAGCACTCCAGTCTCCTTCCTCCTGCCGGGTGTCTTCTATCCCCACGCTCACTGGCTACCATTGCACCACCTCTCTTACGCAGGGGACAGAAACGAGGGGTGTCTGTAGGTTAGATGGGTGCAGGAACTGGGCATCTCAGTCGACTCATTAGCCCTTGTCTGGGGCAGTAGAAAGCTGTGGGTTTGCCTCATCTGATCCTCCCAAAACCAGAAGGGACCATTGGGTACGTCTAATCTAAGCTGGATAACCAGGCCAAAGACCTGCCCCCAAACAATCCCAAGAGCAGCCAGTTTTGACTGACAAATTCCAGAGATGGAGACTCCACCACAGCCCCTGGTAAATTGCTCCAGTGGCTCATTACTCACTGCTAAACAATTCTGCCTTCTAGCCATGGTTTATTCCACAATTCCACGAGCTCTTCAGTGATCACAGCGACGCATTGGGTCCTGCGGGCATGTTGAGCGTAACTTGGTTAACATCATCTCTCTCCCCAAATTCCGGTACTCCACAGTGACAAGGCTGGCGTTTTGGGAAGGGTGTTGTCTCAGTGCTCTATAAGGTTGGCAATTTGCCACCAGCAGTGCAGTATTGCTGTGCCAGGCTGGGCTATGACAATAGCTTAACAGCCAAACCGTCCTCCCTTTTCGTCCCAATGCCCCAGCACATTTATCTCTTTCCTTTCTTCCTCTTTCTGTGGCTCCACATGATGTTGATGATTAAACCTGTGTGCACATGTGTGACAATGCGGTTCTGGCGGAACCCAACTGAGAGTGCCAACTCAGGACAAATTGCTCAAACAGGGCAGTTACAGCCCAAGGCTGGGGTTTTTTCCACCTCTAAGGCAAACCAAACCAGCCAGACTAAGAGGACTTCGGTCTCACCCCACTGGCTAACCGCAAGTCTCACAAGCAATCTCCTTAGGCACTCCAGTTTCCCAGTATCACCACCAGTACCACTCGTTATCGGGACAAATGGTTATGAAAACCAAGACCCCAGTAAAAGAAAAAGGTTCTCCTGATCCCAAAGGACCAAGTCCCAGACCCAGGTCAATATACAAATCAGATCTTACCCACAAATCACGCTGTTGCCAATCCTTTAGAATCTAAAATCTAAAGGTTTATTCATAAAAGGAAAAAGATAGAGATGAGAGTTAGAATTGGTTAAATGGAATCAATTACATACAGTAATGGCAAAGTTCTTGGTTCAGGCTTGCAGCAGCGATAGAATAAACTGCAGGTTCAAATCAAGTCTCTGGACTACATCCCCCGCTGGGATGGGTCCTCAGTCCTTTGTTCAAAGCTTCAGCTTGTAGCAAAGTTCCTCCAGAGGTAAGAAGCAGGATTGAAGACCAGATGGAGATGAGGCATCAGCCTTATATGGTCTTTTCCAGGTGTAAGAACACCTCTTTGTTCTTACTGTGGAAAATTACAGCAAAATGGAGTCTGGAGTCACATGGGCAAGTTCCTGCATACTTTGCTGAGTCTCAAGGCATATTTGCCTTCTCTCAATGGGTCCATTGTATAGCTGATGGTCCTTAATGGGCCATCAAGCAGGCTAGGCAGAGCTAACACCAGTTTGTCTGGGATGTCACCCAGCAGCATAGCATAAGTTTGAAATACAGACAGTATAGAGCCAATATTCATAACTTCAACTACAAAATTGATACACACATATAGACAGCCTAATCATAACCAGTAAACCATAACCTTGTCTTAGACACCCCATTTGACCCCCTTTATACAAGATTTGCGTGCCACTACAGGACCTTGGTTGCAACAATCATCTATATGGTCCCAGATTATATCAATAACGTCACAACATGTCATAAACTAGCCGTCTGATGCTTTCATGTGGCTTCTAGGAATTCCAGCTGACCGTGACCATCCCCCACATGCTTTCTACTCTGAAAACTGCTCTGCAATAAAATGTATGGCTTAAAAACATGTAAAGCTTCTCAGAATTCTCTTAGAACTGAGTTAACCTGGATGCCTAGGCCCCTAAACATAGGAGACATGAGCATCCCCATCTAGCTAGACTCCAGTGGGAATGGTTGAAGTCAGTTCCATCCAGGAAACAGCGGAAGTGCATGAGGCTGTTGGTGCCCAAACTTCTCCAGAGTTGAGACACGGTGCCCCAAAATCCAGTGATCTCCTCTGTGTAAAAGGCAGAGGTTCTGGCTGTGCTGGATCTTGAGACCTTCCCCAACTCATGCCAGTCTGTCTGATGTCCTTGTATGGCCCCATCACTCACCCATGAGCAGGGGAGTAGTATTATCCCCATTGTACAGATGGGAAACTGAGGCCCAATACTCAAAGGTATTTAGGCACCAAACTTCCATTGATTTCAACTGAACTTGGCTATGGCATAAAGGAATTTGATTCCAGTGGCAGTGAGACCCCTGAACATCTCTGAGGTTCTGGGTCAAAGTGACTTGCACAAAGTCACACGGAGTTTTGGGGGACATAGGAATTGAACCTGGGTCTTTTGAATTCGTCTCATGCCCTAACCATTAGGCAGCCCTTCCCCCCGCCATTTCTCTGGCTCCTAACCCAGTTCTTGCTCTGTCCGGGTCCCGTCTGGCTCACTGAGTGCCTATGGTTGGTTGTTTTGCCAGAACCGGATGCACGAGAGCATGAAGCTGTTTGACAGCATCTGTAACAACAAGTGGTTCACAGACACGTCCATCATCCTCTTCCTGAATAAGAAGGACCTCTTTGAGGAGAAGATCATACACAGCCCCCTGACCATCTGCTTCCCGGAGTACACAGGTAACGTGCTGCTTCTCGCCAGGGTGAAACCCATCCTGGCTCCCAGCGGGCGGCGAATCAGCCACTTCAGCATGGCTCCGGGATGTGGTCTGTAGCTCAGCACCTGCTCTGGGTGGAGGATAAACTTGTAGCTCCTAGAATTTCCATCCCAGACCTTCCGCATTTCAAGATCATTGGCCACACCCTGGTATTTTAGGCAGCACTCACAGGCTACGGACAGGAGGTAGAAACGAAAATGCCAAGGGTTGGATTATCTTGTTTATACATAGATCTTACTAGGCCTGTTGCGCTGAGATCCCTGCCTGTTAGTACGGGTTGTGCCTGGGAGGAGGTGACTACAAATGGGAGGTCCTGTGTCGTCAGGAGCGATTGGGTGCCGTTGCAGACCTCGCGAGAGGCATCTGTTTAGGAATGCGTGAAATGAGCATGTGGACGGTACAGAGATGAGCATGGTATAAAGGCTCAGCTAGTAGACCAGATGCAATAGGTCTCATGCAAGATACACAAGACTCTGAAGAGCTGAGAGGCTCCTGGCGGTGCCAGAGGAACTGAACCCAAAGGTCTGGGCAGCCGCAACTAGACCAGGAAAGGCCTGTGACTGATGGTGGGGCTGCCTTTGGGAGGCAGGTCAGACAGTGAATGAGACAGACAGTGGGAAAATCTAGCTCTGTCGCTGCTCCTGCTGATGTGAGAAGGGATGTAAGAGAGGGCAGCTCTGTTGAGATGTTGACTGGAGGGTGAGTCCCCTGGAGGGGGGGGTCTTACCTGAGTTAGGGTGGCTGTCTGCTGTGTTTAGCTGTGGGGCAGGGTTGGGTATAAAGCCCATCCAGACCCTGTGGTTGTACATGGCAGGAAGTAGCATCTCCTTGGCATAGCTGAGTTGAGTCAGGCCCTGGAGTTGGCTGCTGCCGTCTGGGAGCTTAGCACCAGCAGGAGCGACGCGGGTTCCATGCACAAGATGCCGAGGGCTTATCTGATCATGAAGCTGTGTGCTAGAGCAGGCCTGAGGTGCTGGGGAGATCTCTGCTCAGCTCTTGCTTCCTCCAGGTACCCTGGAATGGCCCTGTGAGCTGCTTCCAGCCAGGCCAGTGTTAGCACAGCTCCTCCTGCATCACAGCCCAGACGGTCATGACACCTGGGGCTCAGGGAGGATTCGGTTCAGGGGCAGGATGAAGCCACTGCAAACTTCAAGGCAAATCCCATTGTCAGAGGGGATGCTGGAGCTGCCCTGTTCTGTGCCGTCAGGCTGGGAGCATGCAGGCCAAGCCAGGCCTGCCAAAGTTACTCTAGGAGACGCCCTGTCTGGGCTCATTGAGACCCAACCTATTCGAGGTGGTTGTGTTAATTGAACACTGGCCCCAAGGTACTTCAGACGATAGGGGAGTTGTTTGAGCCCCAGCGCTTGATGCGCAGAGCCAGTCCCTTACTTGCACCTTGGAGTCCCGGCTTCCCTGGCGTTCCAGTGGGAGCTGCCCTCTCCCAGCCCTGGGGGGGAGCTGGGGCTCCCGAGGTGAAGACCAGCTGGCCTCTTCCGCATAGTGGCTCTGCCTTGTCAAACTGGGGTGCCTGCCTATCGCATACCACTCCAGTCCAGTGGCAGCGTCCGTGACGGGGGAGAGGCAGGTTTGAAAATCCATGTAAATTGTAGCAAACCTGGGCCCAACGGGGAGTGACGGTCACTGTGCTGCCCTCTAGGGCCCCTGTGAGCTCAGAGTACAACCTGCTGGCCATGTCCCACATCCCGCTCTGCCCAGCCCACAGAGGGTGAGTCTGTTCCAGCCACAGCTACGGAGCCTGACTCTTTAGCTCAAGCTATAGCAGCTCCTGCTTCTGGTTCAGTCCCTGGCATAGCAGCATAGCACTTGGGATCCTCCTTGAGTGGCCTCGACCTCTCCAGCTACAGGAGAGTCGCTTTCTGCTCTACAGCCCCATGTTGGGTTTAGCTCTGGGACCATGTCTCATTCTGTCCATTGGAGGGCAGCAGTGCCAGCTGGTAGCACCTGGGACCTCTGTGCCAGACAGGACCACACTGTGCCAGGCACTGTACAAACACAGACTGTCATTTAGAAACCAGTTAACTCTCCCTGGTCAGGTTTCAGAGTAGCAGCGTGTTAGTCTGTATCCGCAAAAAGAACAGGAGTACTTGTGGCACCTTAGAGACTAACAAATTTATTAGAGCATAAGCTTTCGTGCGCTACAGCCCACTTAATCCATTCTATGCATCCGATGAAGTGGGTTCTAGCCCACGAAAGCTTATGCTCAAACAAATTTGTTAGTCTCGAAGGTGCCACAAGTACTCCTGTTTTCCCTGGTCACTAATCCCTGCGAGCCCTTGAAACGGGGTTTGATTCCAGGGCAACCAGGGCACCAGAGAGGCAGGGAAGAGAAGGTGGGGAGCACAGCAGCATGCAGGCTCCATTTAGTCTGCGTTGTTTTATCAGCACCTCCTGGCAGCAGTGGCAAATCCTCATTGGGCCCTCTCTGTGAGACTGAAAACCGGAGAGTGTCTCCCCGTGATGCTAGTTCTGTACAGAGGAAGTGCCAGAGGCACGCTAGGTCAGGAGGACAGGAAACAGCAAGCTACAGACCTGCTCAGTCCCTGCTGATAAGCTACCAGGCCAGTAGCTTGTGTCTGGCTCTTTCTAGCGAGGCTCCTGTGCTGGGCTCAGTGGATTCTCCAGCAGTGGGGGGTCTGTACAGGGCAGCGGCACGTTGAACTGGGGTTTAACTGCATGGCAGCTGAGCTTCTCTCTCCTGGGGTTACTGGCAGCTGTGCGCATTGTGACTGCCCTCCATTCAGAAGGGAACCAGTGGACAAATCTACTTCCTTCTGGGGTAGAGGGTGAAATACCTGTGACCGGCCAGTTCCAGCCTTCGGAGCTGCTCTGGCTGTGGGGAGAACGCAGTGTTCAGGCTCCGTATGGGGCTGTCTGGGTCTCCACCCCACCTGCCATGTGCCAGGTGCCCATGCCTGGCTGGGGGGTAAGTAGCTTTGACCTAGAAGAGATGCTGTCTGCCTGTCCTAGGGGTCTGTCTACACTGCAGCTGTGAGCGCGCCTCCCACCCTGGGGAGCCAGGCTCATGCCCTGTTAGTGTGAGTCTGTCTCCCAGGGATCAGAGGCTCTCTCCCCACTGCAGGGTGGATGGATCCTGACCTGAGTGGATGGACCGTAACTCAAGTTAAGAACCCATCTTTTTTCGCAGTGTTGACTTTTCCGTAGGCACTTGCCTATCTGTAGTATCTGGGCACCTCAACATCTTCACTGTGATCCTCACATGCCCCAGGTGGCAGGGCAGGGCTGTCACCCCGTTGTACAGGCGAGGCCCTGAGTGGTGAGTGGCAGGATCAAGGTTGCACCCCGAGTCTGTGGGAGAGGAGGGGATTGAACCAGGTCTCCCCGTTCTAGGCTGGTGCTCTAAGCTCTGGCCCAGCCTCCCCTTTCTCCGCTTGTGAGCTGGGCGGGCCTAAAATTCCACCTGCCTTTTCTTGAAAAAACTCAAACTAGCTGAAGCTGTCCCTGGCAACCCTACAACAACCCCTTCGTCTGCCCCACGCCACCATAACAAACCCACTGCCGTGCAGCTCCTCTCAAACCCAGCAGCAATCCTGCCATAGCAAGCCAGCATGGGCACGCTCTGCAGCCAGGGTTGGAGCAGCCTGCTGGGCTGTAGCAACCCTACAATAACAAACTGGGGCCTGTGGAACCTACTCCTCTCAAGTGATGCTGTGTGAACAATCAGGGCATAGGGCCTGGTCCCGCCTGGAACAGCCCAGCAGTGCGTCGATCTGACAGAGAAGTGATGTTCAGGAGGATAATGCTGTAAACGTCGAGATCTGGGGCTTTCTGAAAAATCGGTACATGGGGGAAGGGAAATCATGTGATCAAGGGGAAAATATGTTGGATTTTAACACCATGTGCATGTCCGCGTCCCTTTTGCAGCACCGCGGTTCTCAGTCCCAGCCCAAGGTAACTTTGGAATGGCCAGTTTTCCAGTCATTTTGTGTGCTCTGACGCAGCTCTGCCAGCCCCGCAGAAAGTGACCGGATGTGGGAGTTAGTCCAGTCACTGTTGCCTTTCGGGTCGCAGGTTACCTCTATAGAGCTTCTGGGGAATATAGAAGAGTCGACGCAGCCAGTGCCCCTATTACAAACAAGCGCCATGGGCGGCCCAGTGCACTGCTGTGCCTTGCTGGGGGTAGCACGCTCCGGTCTTCTCCCCCAGCCGTGCACCTGGCCTGCCAGTCCTTAGCCAATACTGGGCATTTCCCCCAATTGGCCACCAATCTAAGCTGCCACCTCAGTCTGCTACTTGTGAGTCCCACCTTCCTGTGCGGTGCCCTGAGGAATCAGGGAGTGCAAACTGGGCAGGAATTCTCAAAGTAGGGTGCATTCGGCAGGCTCTACCATGGCATCGCCCGGGCCAGTGCCAGCTGGAGTCACCAGTAGTCAGGCACAAGTGGTCATCTTTCAAGCCGTGCTGCTCCCTCTCTCCCCCTCTTCAGTCTCTGTTTACAGTGCTATGGGTGGTATAAGACCCAGTCAAATGGATTAGCAACGTCTCCTGGCAGCGGGCTAGGCTGTCTTGGTAGGGTGCTTTGGGGTGACAGCCTGGGATCTGGAGAGGCCTTAGTGGGAGGAGTGTGCAGTTCTGGGCACCACACTTTAGGGGTGATGTGGACAAATTGGAGAGAGTCCAGAATGATCAAAGGTTTAGAAAACCTGACTGTTGGGGACAGGTCAAAAACCTGGGCATGTTTGGTCTTGAGCAAAGACGACTGAGGTGGGGGAGGGCTGATACCAGTGTTCAAATCTGTGAAGGGCTGTTCTAAAGAGGATGGGGATCAATTGTTCTCCACCTCCACTGAAGGGAGGACAAGTAGCAATGGGCGTAATCGGCAGCAAGGGAGATGGAGGTTAGATATTAGCAAACACTTTCTAACTCTCAGGGGAGTGAAGCTCTGGAATAGGCCTACAAGGGGGGTTGTGGGATCCCCGTCAT